TTTTTTTTTTTTTTTTTTTTGTTCCCACTTGTTAGGCAGATATGTCTCCCATTAGATGTAGCCAGCATGTCTTCGGCACACAAAAATCGGGAAAGGACATTTAAAAGTATAATTATAGGAGAGCTTATTGAAGTATGACACTACTAGTCTCATCCTCTGTACAGACAGGGAGGGCAGCAGATGATATGAATGTGTCCATGTCAAGCAAAAGGCGGTTTTCTAAATACTTTCTCACGATGCAAATATTTTACATTTAGATACCGCTGATAAGGGCATTCCATTTGCATATCCCAGTCATTGAAGTGACTCGGTGTTGCATTCAGCTTCTCCTCAGCTATTATACTGTTAGGCAAAGGCCCAGTGTCCTTGGACTCTGTATCCAAGGTTACAGTATTTTCTACACTGTATTGTCAGACCACTTTCCCTCGCTTTTAGTTGAGCGCAGGCTAACACACACTGCGATCCGCTTCGGTTATAGCGTTCTGGAAATGTAACTCTTTTGGTGTATTCTGTTTCATTAATGAAATTAAATGTGTGAAACAGTTTTTTTTTTAATGTGCTTATTCTCTCTTTGAGTTGCTTGTGGAAACTGAATTTTGTATTCTGTGTATATCTTGATTTTTCGGTTTGATTATTACTGCGGTTAATTTAAACTTTGTACACTGTTAATGTTCTTTTGGGTTCCTAATAGGACTGTTTCCCTCCTTCCCCCCCACCCATTGAGTGTATAATATATTAAGTGATATGAAGTACCTTCAAGCATTAGAAACCAGTCAAATCTAGCTGTTGTCACGTGGTGGTTTTTTTTTTTTTAAATCCCCCAACTGTTTAATCTTTCTTTGTAAAGGTTTGGAGTTGTGATAAAGAAAAAAAACACGTGAATCACTATGTTCTTTCCACATTTGAATAGTCCAATAATGTTTCACCTTTGGCAACAGTTGGCTTTCTCATAAAATGTATTTTGAACTAATCAGCTTTTCCATTTCTTGGAGTAACCCTGTAGTAAAAATGCAGTTACAATGAAGTACAGTCTATGAGGTCAAGGAAAGGGAACGTGTGAAGAAAATCTAAAGGATACATTGTTTCCTAATTAGTAACGTGTTAAATTAGTGAAATTTAGAATGAAAAAGATTTTTTTTTTCCAATAAAACCTGCTATTGTGCAAACCACTTTTTCTTAAAGTGACTCTTGCTTTCTGGGCATGTATTTAATCTCGGTTCTTTCAGTTCCCAGGTTAAAACATAAATATCATAGTTTTAAAGGGAATATTTCTACATCAGAAAATGTTCCTTTCTATTGTGGTTCTTTCTGCAGCCAACTGACTATTCATTTGCCTTGTGATTTAATACAGTAGTGGAAGCTCTTGTTTTAATTAGTGCTGTGTTAGAGTTGTTGCTGGTAATTTAAACTTGATGAGAAAAGCTTTTATTGCTTTTACTTTTGAATATGTGATTTACATCACTAATCCATGAAGTGGCTTAATCTTCTTGTTGAATCTCAGTGAAATGTTGATCTCAATAAAGAACCTGTGATTTCTGACAAAAATCTCTACAGTGACTTGTTGCAGGGGATAGCTGGCACATCTCTACAACATGCTGTTGAATTGCTTTGATATCTCGCCTTTTATGTCCAGAGCGGGTCTGTTCCATCTTTGTGTGGGGTCCTTTTGCTGGGAACTTTACAAGGCCAGAGGCTAAGAAACAGACTTTAGATCTACCCTCGGCTTCTCGGTGTTTTGCGTGTATTACACTTTGAGAAGTCTTTTGCAGCACTTGTTTCAATGGTAGGTAAAACAATGTTTTGATCAATGAAATATTGACTGTGATAGGAGCCTGCCTCTGGTTGGAATTCAGCAAAGCCCTTTAGCATGTGTGTAAATTCCATTGATTTTCTGGTTCTTTAGCAAGTGCATAGAGTTAGGCATGTACTTAAATGCTTTCCCCGGTCAGTGGTTAACACTAACAGTCCCTCCCCTCTGCCTCCTGTCCCGGTGCTCTACTGGAGTGCATGTTCTTCTTTGTCTAGTGGCCAAAGCAGGCCATTATCTCAAAGGCTAACACATTATCTCAGAATATTGTTACCCAGGGGTATGCTTGTAATAATACATCCTACACTCAAAATGCAAAATGGAAAAAAGAAAAGATTATGCTGTCAAAAGCTCTTAGGACTGTCTACTTCTATAAGCCTTGACATTTATTTGAAAGTACAAATAGGAGTAATTTGAAGTTTAATGTGAATAAGTTTATGCCTTGCCTTTCAGCATAACAACCAAGGTTAGAAGAATAACTTGATGGAGATGGAGGGGAATACAATTGCTTATACAGCGTAATGATGCTTTGGCTTTGGCTTCTTTCTAAGCAGAGTTATACAGATCGTAATATTAAGTCCCTGGGCACTTATAGAACGACTTTATTGCAAGGCAGTTCTTTATTTGGCAGCTGTTCTTTGTGATTAGCAAATGTTTGAGATGCCTCACCTAGCAACTTTTGAAAGTGGGCTGCAGTAGGTCTAGAAACCTGTTTAAACAAGGATAGCTCCTTGCTAGCAGTGGGGTTACCTGTCTGGAAGAATGACCTTTCCTTCTCAAATCCATCTAACATATTTCCAAATCATTTAGTTTCATCAGTTGGTGGCAGTTCTGGAATTAATACATGTACAGTTCTACCCTTTTAACTTTGCTTGCAGTTTATAGGTATCTAGTTTGATTATTGCTGGCCCCTAGTCTAAGGGCTATTTTTCTGTTGTCAGGGTAGTTCCTATGCTGGAAGCACAGGACTGGGAGTCGGGAGACTTGAATTCTGTTCCCACTGGCTTCAGTGGAGGCCAGGATTTCTCCTGTGCTTTGGTTTGCCCATCTGCAAAAGGCAGAAGAAACTTCCTTCCACATCGAGGAAACTGAACTAAATGCATCCCCGTTTTTAAAGCAGTCCTTAATAGATATCGCTAGAGAAACCTAGAACGATATAACTGTGTACTGGAGGGCAGCAGTATGAGATCAAAAGGCCACTTTTTGTTAAGATTCTTGGGGTTTTTTTTGCTGTTTTGTTTAATATACCACAGCTAATAGCAATTAAGTTTAAAGAAGGTTTTGCACGGGAATTGGGGTATAGCTACTCAGGGGAAACAGTAATTTTGGGACACTTTTTTTAATTGCCTTTGACAGGATAAAGATATTATTCCCTGTAACTGAGTATTTACAATGCTTTTCCCATGCCCAAAATTTTGGGTTCGTGTATGCATTGGGTTCACATTATTCATTCACCTGCTTCTCATTTCTGTGCCTCAAGAGCAGTCTTCAGGTTTCTTCTCCCTTTTTTTATTAATTAATTTGATTTATTTATTTATTAATGTATTTATTTTTGCATCTCCTTGCCCAAGTATGCAACTAAACCCTGTTATTGGCTGTGGCCCATTGCAGGGAGCTTTGACTTTTCTGCATGTTTAATCAGACCCAAGAAAAGAATCCCTTTTGTTCTTCTTTTCCCAATGAGTAGTGCTCAGCATGTTGCATCTGCCCACTTCAGTGACATTCATATCTTCACAGTTGGTTTGAAAACTGATTTCCAGCCCTGCAGCAATCAAGTGTCTCCCATTCCAAGCAATCTGATTCCAATCAGATTTTGTTTTCTCACTCAATCTCTGAGGTTCAGGCTGCAGAGGCCAGATGCTGAACCCACTAACAGACTGATTTACACTGGTGATAATTCCATTGATTTCAATCATTCTGGTTTACCTAGGGAAAAGAAAAATCCTGCCTAGATTATCTTCGCGCTGTCTGGTTCAACATTGTCTAACACCATTGGTCATTTCTTGTGCTTTTTTTTTTTAAATGAACATACTAACATTTCCGATACAGTTACAGAAGACAAAAATACTGCATGAAGCCATTTGTTGCCCCCTTCCTGTTATGAGAATGATGTGGTGGCATGACGTGAAGGTTTGGATTTAATGGTGAGCAATGCCATCAAGTTACCAGTAACCGATTTACAACATTTTAATAGGAGCCAGTTTGAACCTGAGATTTGCGTTAAAGGCACTATTGAAGCTGAAGCAATATTGCCACTAATTTCAGAGATGTTAAAAGCCCAGTCATGAACAGGAAGCTAAGGCATGTTCTTGTTT